ATAGCTTCAATTTAAGACCAACTAGTGCGTACCCCGTGCGATGCACAAGGCAAAGATATTAAATGAGTTATTTTCACAGCTTTGTCCGTTTAAGTCTAAAAAGCAATAATGCTATTATCTATTTTCTACCTTTTTTAATCAACATTAAGTCTAAAAAATTATTAAACCGCCCTCTGGCAACTATGTATAGAGTTATGTGTTCGTGTCTAATAAGTCACAAACATTATGAATAACATTACAAATTATTCATTCAAACTTTTATTCATTGCAAATATATTAAAATAGTTTATATAACAGTCATTAAATACCACTTTCAATATATTTATAAATAAAAATTTCATAAAATTTCTGGTGTGTTCAAATTTAAATAATTTTTTATGGGCTCAATTTTAAATCATCCAGACATTTGGTCAAACGCATACGTGTGTTCAAATTTAAATCATCGCATTTTGGTCGGTTGAAATTTAAATCACTTACCATGGTACTGTATGTGTATTATATATATATATATATATATATATATATATATATATATATATAACTTTTTAACAAATAATATGTGCTTTATAAAAATAATAATAATAATTTCACAAGATTTTAAACGTAAAATTTGGTTTTTAATCATAATAGAAAAATCATGGTAAGTTGTATTGAAAAAGGTATTATGAGATAAAACAATTAACTAAAATAATTAAATAAAATACTTGATGGAAATAGAATGCATTAATTACCTTCGACTTTTCTTACTACTAATTCTAGTAAATAGAATGCCTTTTTATATAAGTATAGATATTATTATGATTTGCTATATTATATTAATTTTGACCATGCATTTGCACATAAATCTATACGATAGAGGAATAAAAAACAATTGTAAAAATCTATATCGAGTATTTACTGTCTCTTCTCCAAATATCCATCATCTGAACCTTATGTACTTGTTCCTAAATAATAATAATAATATCAATTTCACTTTTTGCTCAAGATAAGTGTGCAGTCATGACTATAAATATTGTCATGTGTGCTTCTTCTGGTGCACATCATTGTAATATCTATATGATTCTGAATATCAATGTAATTTCGTCATCTGATATAGTCCCTCAGACTCGCACTCATATAATATATTGAAAAAACATTTTGTGTGGTCACCCATAACTGGTAGTTTTTACATTATTTTCTGATTTTGTTCAATCATCCAACTAGTGCGGTACCCGTGCGATGCACGAGCTAGTTTTATTAAGGTAAGCAGTTAAATTTGGATGATTGGAAGAAACTAAAATACATATATTGAAATGAAACACAATGTAACGTTATATATTATTAAACACATCTTTGTACACAAAATTATTTGTTTGGTCTTTTGGTGCATCGTCTATCGCCACAAATTATATTAAGATTGTAGATAGTCTTAAATAAATCGGTTAAATTATTTAGCAGAATATATACGATATTTTGTAAGTGTATGAAATCATTATTTATTTTGTAAGTGTATTCAATCAATTTCAAATTTGTATTCTAGATAATTAAATAAAACTCAAATTTTTAGGATGTTACAATCCGATTTCATTTTGAATTTCAAATTAATATTATATGACTTTGTGTTATGTTTAAAAAAGTCCGAATTAAAGAAAGTAGTAATCAAATGATAAAAGATTTTTAAATTTTAATTTGAAATTTGGCCCGATTTTTATTTAATCCGATTTTTTTAATAAACATGATCTGCTACAATTAGGTAAAGATACATGTTATAGTGTTTTGTCTAATTCAGAAATTCTCAATTGTATGGTAAACATATTTTTTTAATAAAAAAAATAAAAGAATTTTGACTTTTACAAAATTGTCATTCCGACTATGCTATCCGATTTTTATAATAAATAATTGATTTGTTGCAATTAGTAAATGATATATGTGAAAGTATTTTTCCTAATTCGAAATTCTTGATTTTATTTTAATCAGTTTTTTTGTAATGAAAATAGAAGAAAGAAAATTGACTTTTGCATCAGTCGAAATTTACCTAAATTAAATCCACAAAATATATAAATTTAGGGTGCATATTTAAAAAAATAAAATTATTGTATCATTTCAAGATTAAATCAACCGTAATTAATTTTAGTTAAAATATAATAGTTTCCAAACAAAACACTTTAGGTAGCCAAAAATTTATGGTATGTAATATTGTTTCATTATGGTAGCACGATGAAGTGAATATAGTTCACCCGGGCTCCTTCAACTCGAACCGGCCTCCGTACCTGCAGAACCCAACGCCGGGGGTGGCCCCGGCGTCGGGCCTCCAATGCTTAAGTCAGTGCCCCGATCACGAGAGAGATAGTGTGTAGTAAATAAATGAGGAGAGAATGAGAGAATGAGGTACCTTGGCCCCCTTTTATAGGAGGAGTGTACCTTTTGGGCCCAAGTTGGGCTTAGATGTCTTAGTGGGCTTATCCTCCAATATGTATCCGCTTTATCTATAAACCGGGTCCAGTATAATATCCTAT